TTATTCTCTTTACTCTCTGACTAGTTGCAGGCAGGACTCTGTGTTAATCACCATCTACTGCAAAAGAATCTTCCCTGATGATGGTTGAGAGAGACACCGATCTTCAAATAAAATGATGTCATTAGGAATCAGTTAAATACTATATCCACTTGGCAGAGTAACAGTAGTAGGTTCTCCCGATAGATTCTTGGCCACAATAAAGGTGCCAGGTATGAGGTTAAACTTATCCATTCAGAAAGTAGTTAGTTACTCTCATGACTTTAATCATTATTGTTCAAGTGGACATGTCTTTTGGGGATGATCATTATTGTAGCTCACAGGGTTAAAAGCTAGGCAATATGGATGATTACTTTTCTCCTCTGGTTACATGCATGCAGCCTGCCAGCGCCATGAAACTAGCCAATAAATAAAGATGAAGGACTCAGATGAGCACCAGCTTGATTTCTCCATGTTCAATGATTCAGGTATATGGGATCATTGTGGAAGAGGAGACAGAAAGATTATAGGAGCCATAGATAATGAATGACTGCAAGGAAGTAGTGCTTCTGGGTGTAGCAGGACAGTTGCACATATGAACTCATAGAAGTTGTAACAGCATTCACAATACCTGAGCAAGCTCAGGAAAGACATCTGATAGACACTGGGAGATGGGGGGCCAGTTTTCTTTAATAGCTTGACCCTTAGTAGGTCATCCAAGTGGAAAGTGATACATGGGGGAGGAGTTGAGTAGCACAAATTGTGCTTGCCTGGCTTCAAGTCGTTATGCAGCTTTGAACTCCTATCCCTCTGCCTCCACCTCCTGAGTTCTAGCATTACAAGCATTCATTACTACACTCAGCTTAGATGATATTCCTTTGACTGTGAAACAATATATGACCATCCCAGGTGACCAAAAAGATTGCCTCCTCTACATATGTACAATTAATTATCTCAAGTCTCTATCAAGCTACACAAAGTCCAGGTGATTCTTCAGAGCCACTGCATTGTGGCTCTTCAAAATTCTGTGTAGGTGAGTTTAGTAAACTTATACTGATTCAGTCACAGAACACCTCCAACTGCAATGATGATATAACACATGGAATCTTCTCTGTGCAGCACATCACTGAAGGAGCTTTGAAGTGTCATGACATGCCTACTAGCAAACAAGCCAACCAAACTAAAGAAAGTCAGCATCTTTTCTTGGGCCCATTGAAGAACTGAGATCTAGTGGAAAATGGCTGCCATGGACATTAGAGGAATAGACAGGCAGGGCAGTAAACCCCAAATTAATGGAAATCCATGCAAAGAAATTTCTGTGTGAAACAGACCCATGAAAGGAAACCTAAACAGACTCAATGAATTGCAGAGGTTTGACATAGACACATTCAAGAGTGAAACAGATGGCCCAAGCTAACATACCCTTCCTGTGTTCTAGGAACCTCTCAATACACACTGTATATTTACTTGCTGATGTGACTGTCTCGGCATTTTGCACATGGGGAAGCTGAGGCACATGGAATGTCAGGAAGTGGATGTATGTCACTTGGCTAGAACAGTTTTAATTTTTAATTTGGGTTAATGTTAGATTTACAGAAACATTCCCTCAGAACTCTTGGTGATGACAATACTGTATTTGCTGGATACCATCTACCAATTGCCATGCAGGCAAGAAGGTAAGCACTAGTCACTGAACAATACTCAGACATATGGAAAGTCAGTCCTCCTACTTCAAGAAATAACCCTTATATGGGAACCAGTGTGGGGAGGGCAGATAAGAGAATAATTACAGGGTATTGTCAAAGTGAACTTTTAGGCATATATAAAAATATCACTATGCAAATGCAACTCACTATCATTTAACACATGCTGATAAAATGTTATATAAAAACCCCACATTCTTCACCTCTCACAGTTAGGAATCATCCCTGCCCCCAACCTTAAGTAAACACTTTGATCTCACCCTCTCCACCCCACCCACTGCCTCTCTGTACACAGCTGTTGCCCATACCCAAAGGCCATGATAAGGTATGGCAGTCTTTTATAACACCATTATTTAGAGCTCATCATGCTTTAGGATTTGCACCACATCCCTCCCAGGACAACTCCAGCCTAAAACATTATGCTGAGTGATGAATATGTGTTCTCCAGGTGAGGTGTGCTGCTAGTAATTAAACAGTATTAATTCCATCAGCTTTGATTTACATTCTGAGCTCCCAGTAATAAGGCTCAGCATTCTATTTTCTTTCTGACTAACACTGAGTAATAGAATTGGTGTTTAAGGATTATCATATAAATCTATTTTTTTGGTCAGTCAGTATTGGGGAATTTTTTTCAATATATTACAAATGTATTCATTATTCTCAAGTTTGTAAAAATAATTAAAATCTACAGGCCACACACAAATTCCCAGGACATAAAAACATGACTGGCACTCTACTGCCAAACACTGAGGTTGCCAACTTCTTGGTTTGAGGCTTTAATGAGAAATTACTTCCATCTTTTCATGCACTAAAGGACTCAGGTGGAAACCCCTCCCTTCTCAGGAGTAAGGAGACAAACATTCTGCCTATCAGAATGAAGCAGCCTTGTCATTTTGTGTATATTTTTAGCAACCTGCCAATTGTCTATTTCAAAACATAAACTATAGGTTTAAAAACATAAAAAATTTTCTCAAATGTGATTATCAAGATGTAGACAAGATGTGTTCACATAACAAGAAAAAGAAAAATTCAAAAGTAAAACAATCAAGGGGGAAATGAAGGAGAAATTCAAGTTTGTCTAATCTATCACAGAGATCTGTAGGTCTCCCTTTATATAAAGCATGGCCATCACCACTATCAGGTGGCCTTCCACAATTTGAATGCCATGTCTATAGGTGCTAAGCATAATGAACAACTCTTGCTTTTTCATTTAAAGAATTGAAATTCTGATTCTCGGACAGGCAAAGCAGAACCAATCTTATTCTTAAATGCTAAGACAAACCATTAAGTATAACACTAATTGAAATACTATAGGGACTGTGAGAATTTTGTGGAGGGAAGGGGAAGTCCATCAGGGTTTTTATGTGTTCTTGTTACTGTTGTTTGTTTATACATCTTAACCCCAGGATAATTTATACTAAGTTATATGACTAATTGAGGGGCCCCACTAGTGTGGTTCACCTTTGGAATGAAGAGCTGCCCCGGAAAGCCATAAGAGGGATGCAAAAGACCGCAACTCTGGAAAGAAGCATGGGCATGTGCAATGCAAATGTTTATTTCACCTGGTAGACCAAATGTGACAGACTGTTCTATCTACAATGGAATATTAATTTTCTGGTTTTTGAAAGGAAAACACAGTGCTCATTTGTATTGTTGTAAAACTTGTGAATTTGCCCCACAGGATAAGTAATCCTCAAAGCAGCATCCTAATTAAAAGGAAAACTCAGTTGCCTTGCAAGATAATATAAGAGGGCATATAAATTGTAAACAAGATGCATGGTAAAAATGAAAAAGACAGGCTGGATTGGAAAGGAATGAAATAAGCTTTGGAAATGTGCTTCTTAAATGAACACAAATTGTAAGATAATGTCTCATTGAACAATAAAAATAACAAACCAGTGGCAAAGATGTAATAGAATTCCCCATGTATACCATTTTAATCTTAATATAATTTTCCCCAGTGCATCCATGTTTATTGAACTACTATGACCGATTCTTTCTCACTCTGTCCAAAGTTACTGAGATTGTGTTCTCCACTGTAAATAATTCCCTTATAATGAACACGAAAACGATCCAGAAATTGACCGGAGTTTATAAGAGGAAAAATGACATTTCATCTACTCACAGAAAAGGCCTTCCAAAGATGCCAAGTCTATACATATTTTCCTCAGGGAAGCAGCATGAGAGGACAGGAAATCCTTCCTGTTTCCTACTAGGTCATCAACTTAACACCTTTGTGTCTTTTCCTGTCCAGAAAATACAGAGAGGACTCCCAGGGGATCCTAACATGTAATGTGTTGGATAAAGAGCTGATGTGAGACATCCTTGGACCAGTTAATAAATATACATGTGATTTGGGCATATAGAGTGGACTGCCTCAGTTTCCCAATCTGCAAAAAGGTTAATAATAGTGTCTATCATCACATGAGGATCGAACTGCACATAGGATAGGTGTGCTGAAGGTTGAAATGAAACTCCCAAAGAAATCCTGTACCTACTACTGACTCCCACTGAAACAGCTCAGCAAACCACAGCTCCAACCAACCCCATGGGCATCTTTAACTTCTTAGTTTGCAGTGTAGTAAATCTCTGTCTCTCCTTTGCTTACACTCATGTTGGCCATTCAAAGAATGTGTTTATTTCACGAGATTTTAAAGTAAGTATTTATAGAAATACAACCAACCCAAGGCTCAGGAAACATTACAGAAGAGGGAGGAGGATGAATGTAAGAGCCAGAGGATAGGGCCCTGTATGATGAAATGCTGTCTTCTGGACATAACATGGAAATTGCACTCAGGAACTCACTGCAACTATGGTTACCTGCCCAGGACCAAGCCACCAAGATCAGTCAGTATTCCAGCATGAAATGCTAATTGGACTAGATGGCTTTGTTGTTGTTCTTTTTTTTTTTAAGAAGAAGAAAGGACATGAAAATGGTAAGGAAGGAATGGGAATGTGTTGGGAGAGTTTATGGGAGGGCAAAGTAGAGCATAGATAGAATCAAGGTACATTGTATACATGCATAAAATTGTCAATAATTAAATGTTTTAAAAATAAATAAATATTTTTTTAAAAAAAATATAATAACATGAAAGATGGAGATCATGTCCTGTTTATCACTTTGCTTTGAATTTGGTATTGCTGTGTAACTGGAATCTGGGATTTTGCTAAATATTACCCAAATACTGATTCTGGGGGTGAGGGTACAGCTTGGTGCTGGAGATTCTGCCTAGCAAACACAAAGTGATGTGTTCCATCTCTGACAATGGCATGCCAAACAAAGTAAGGCAAAGCAAAGTATTTTCCTTCCATTCAAGCTTAATTCATTTTATTATTTTCCAAAGTTCATTAGACAAAAGAAAGATATATATTTAACAAATCATGAACAAAATGTATTGTAAACACATTAACAAATACATTTCATTAAATATATTATCAGTTCTTTTGTTGGACAAAATGTATACTGTGGCTTTTAGTTTTGCTATTTTGTGCTAGATTAAATACTGGAAATTTTAATGAATCAAACACTAACAGAGATCTCCTAAGCAAAAATAACTATGCACCCAAAGTAAGCAGGTGCACAAATCTACCCTTATAGGAATAATTCTGCTGTTAGAGCCACAAGTCAACAGTGCATTATCTTCATAAACTTACCATTCTTTTTTCAGAAAATTTTTCTAAGAGTTAAAGTTGAAGTTTCCAAATATATCCAGTTTTTTTTTAATGAAAATCAATTTCTGTGACTCTCCATTTCACTATCTATAACACTTTGTAATAAAATGCAGATAACAAATAGAGATTCTCATGGCATACATTCCTAGGATCCAGGCTTTATAATCACAAAACACTGAGAACAGAGGCAACTTGAGGTTATCTGAGACAATATCACCAAAGTAGCTCTCAATCTTGCCAGCAGCAGAGGCTTCTGCAAAGGACACTTCCCAGTTGCCTTCCTTACAGAGGGCTTCCCAGGCCATTGTTTCGGATGACCTTGGCATATTCTTTGGCTGACCTGTACGGCACCCGAGGTCTAGCAGGATCTTCAAAATCAACATGGAAGAGGCCAAATCTTCTGCTGTACCCATTGTTCCACTCAAAGTTATCCAGAAGCGACCATGCACAGTATACTTGAAGGTTGACTTCATCAACATGGATAGCTGAAATGGTTTTTGAAAGAGTCATTAGCATTTCTGGGAAAGTTCTGAGAACAAATATCACTGAGGAGCACTGGGCACTCCTTTCTAGTGCCCAGCTAGGGATCTCAGTGGGGATAGACAAAATTCTTCTTTGTCTTTTTAACCACAGATACAACACTGAAATAAAGTTAGATTTGGGGTCTAATACCTATGTTGATTAGCTTAATTTAGTTATTCCACAGTATGTACCATCATCAAAGCATCAAGTCCTACACCAGAGCATAAATGAATATTTGTCACTTAAAATAATGCCCCTTTCCAGGTTTCTGTTTGACCTGAGCACGAGTTTCAGTTAAGGAGTTAAGTCACAGACAGGCATGGGTGACACAATACCCACAATCTCAGCATGAGGAAGTCTGACACAGGAGGGTGGATGCAAGTTCACAGATTGTTGGTTCTACTTAATGAATTGTAGATCATCCTGGGTGGCATAGTGAAGCCTTATCCCAAAATTAAAAGAAGTTACTTATTATTCTAATAATGTAATCAGTCATTTTGACATTTTTTCATTCTTTTGTTCTCTTAATGCACATTTTCAGTGCCCTTTCCAGTGTACACACACACACACACACACACACACACACACACACACACACACACACACTTTCCTAGTACTCAGAAGTGTATTCAATTAAAAACACATCCACCATCACAGTATAGCTTCTAATAGCTAGAAAAATCTATTGGTCAGTTGGAAGAGATGATAGTAGCATTCCCAAAGAAGCCTGTCCCTTATATCCCCATGAGCAAACTGGTACATACATGTCTTATAACTCTGAAATCAGATACACCAGACTGAAAAAGGTGAGTACACAGCTCTGGCCATGTCTACAGACAAGTATGAAAAACTTAAAAATATCATAGCAACCTCTGTTACTGGCCACTGTAGCACTATAACAAAGACAGAGTAGCTTATAAACAATGGTTAATAATAATTTGTCATAGTTCAAAGAGACAAGAAGTCCTAAATCAAGATGATGTCAACTTCAACATCTTGTGGGGTGCTATGGATATCGCTCTGTATGAAACCAGTGCTATGGATATTGCTCTGTATGCTGTGAATGTGTTGCTCTGATTTGGTTGATAAATAAAATGCTGATTGGCCAGTATCCAGGCAGGAAGTATAGTATAGGCAGGATAAGCAAAGAGGAGAATTCTGGGAACAGAAAGGCTGAATCAGGAGATACTGTCAGCCAATGCCATGAGAAGTGAAGTGTAAAGATACTGGTAAGCCAAAAGCCACATGGCAAAGTATAGATTTAGAGAAATGGGTTTTAAGATTTAAGATCTAGCTAGCAGGAAGCCTACATCAATAGGCCATACAGTTTTAATTAATATAAGCCTCTGTGTGTTTATTTGGTCTGAGCAGCTGTTGGCCCAGGGAGGACTGGAGAAAACTTCAGCTACAGTGGGGGACTATATCCAGGTTTATTAATGGCACCTTCTTGCTGTATCTTCATGTGGCAGGAAGGGAAAATGAGCTCCTTCATATCTCTTCATATATTGTCATCAACCCCATTGATGATGACTTTTTCCTTACTACCTGATCATGTCACAAAGTCCTTACCTCATAGTACCATCATCTTGATAGCTAAGTTCTCAAGACGAATTTTGGAAAGACTCAACATGCTTTCTATATCTCCTTGCCTATGCCCTCCATCTAGACTGAGTGATGCTTCAGCCCTTTAAGAACCAAGGACAAGACTGTATGCACAAGACTTGCACAAGATTAAGCTGGACAAAATCTCAGCATGGATGGGGGAGAGGGGACTCAAGAAATCCCACCTCTAGCTGAGGAGCTATTTGCAATTGATAGCTTCTGGCAGATAGAATGTCAATTTTTTTCAGGTATATGTCCTCTGAAAGGCTATCCATGCTCCAATAGATTGTCTTAAACACATTTATATACAGGCAGCACTAAATGAATTCCGTGTTATGATAGTTTGACTATAATTGGCCCCCATAATCTCGTAGGGAGTGGCACTATTAGGAGGTGTGGCTTTTTTGGAATGAGTATGTCCTTGTTGGAGGAAGTGTGTCACTGTGGGGGTGGGCTTTGAGGTTTTCTATGCTCGGAATACCTCCCAGTGAGTCAGTTGATTTCCTATTGCCTGCAAGATGTAGCAGTCTCACCTCCAGCACCAAGTCTGTTTGCGTGCCACCATACATGATAATGGACTAAACTTCTGAAACTGTAAGTGAGCCACCCCTATTAAATATTTTCTTTTTAAGAGTTGCCATGGCCATGGTGTTTCTTCACAGCAATAAAAACTCTAAGAGAAGTGAGTTAAAATATAAAACATTGAGTTAGGAAGGGAAATGACGGAGTGACAGGAAAAATTAAGGAGAAGGGAATGGGGCTAGATTTGGTCAAAACACATTATAAATATGTGACTGAAATTCTCAAATAACAAAAAAGGAAAGAAAAGCTAAAATCATGGATCATTTGGGCCAAAACTGCACATGTACATAAATACAAAATAAATTCTCTAGAATTTATGTGTTCTCTAAGTTCATCATTTCACTCCATGCTAGGAGACCAAAGTGGGAGAAATCTCTAAATCATTTCCAAATAGTTTTCATTGTTTGGTATGGAGAATAGAGCTTATATTTTTAATTACTATTTTATGTCTCTCAGAATTTTGAGATCATGTGAATCTTTGCAAAAAAATCATATTATTTGTGAAAATCAGTCAGAAAACTGTGTCTATGACCCACTAAGAGACATTTCTCCATTTAGAAATGAAGTGAAAGGCTGGTTTTTTTTTTTAACAAGATGGCCATATCGCTCAATAAGAAGGAGAAAATGAACATTCATATAATAAATCAGATTTTAATTGCACTGGGGACTGCTTTCATCCAGAGCGAGTCCTGTAACTAAATATTTATCAAATCAAGCTCTACTCTCATTTTTTCTTTGGTATCAGTCTGTATTTTTCAAGTGTATTAAGAGCACTGTACATTTCTTCTACTATATATCTGTAGGTCTCCAAATCTTAAGAGTTGTGTTTATAGAGTCAAATACTATGCAGACAAAATATCCCTGACAGGCTATGTGATGCATGACCCCAGATACAGTTGTACCAAGAGACAAGCAACGTGTTTTGATTAGAGAGCTTTTTATAAATGGTGTAGGGAAAGAATTAAGCCAAGTTCTGTTGACGTTTTTAAATGAAATTACGCTTAGAAAATGAAAATACAGAACATTCAAACACATTAAGCCTTACAAGACTAAAAATACTTATGAGACATCCTTTCTTCTCTTATCTGCTGTCATTTGCATGTATGCCTCTGCCTTTGTCAAGTATAATAATATGGAAAATGCCCTTTCTTTTAATAATTTTTTTTTTTTAGGAATCCAATTTAAGTACAAAATGACACATCTCTGTCTAAAAACTACAAAAGCCCAATACTCAGATAGAAAACAGTAATCTCCTTTGCTTTGTAAATCAGTCTGGGGCTATGTGAGAACATGCATGTTTTCTTTCCCACTTGTAGAACTACTACAGCCCAACAAGAAAGCCTGCCAGGTACAAAGCCAGACAGTTTCTGAAAACACACACAGTCCCACTGATCGTATACAAAAGGACTGATTCATGTGCTAAACCAGGGGATAAAAATGAAGCCCTGCCTGCTTGGAAGGGAACAAAGGGAAATCGTGACAATTTCATTGTTAACTGCCAGGAGTGCAGCGGCAAGCACTAAACTGCCCGAGTGACACTGGTGGATGTCTCTGCATTTTCACTGCAGGAACACTCAAGTGGAGAATTACCTAGTTAGGTTCGGGAGCTAGCCTGCTGGAATCCTTCTCACCAGGCCATCACTGGGAAAAATTACAAAACCACACCGGAACCTGCACGCCTCTCCTCTCCCAATCTCCTCGGGAACGGAAAGAGACCATCATCACATTTCTTGTCACCATGATTTATGAGGTCCCAGATCTTGGCAGGGGAGAAAGCACTTCTGAGAATTTGCTTTCTTTTCTTTCTTTAACCAGAGTTGGAGGCAAAGTCAACACAGACCAATAGGAGTTTGGACAGCTACACAGCATGCTAGGATAAAAATGGTACCTATTGTAGAGTCAGAGTATAATATGGAACAAGACTGTTGGAAGATGCAGGGATAAAACTTTTAGGCTTACTTCCAGTTAAGCCCTTCTAGTTATAAGAACCCCACGTTAGCACTATATTCTACAGACTTGTACATTCAAAGCAACACACACACATTATATATATATATATATATATATATATATATATATATATATATATATATATGACTTTCTGTACATAAATGTCTGTGTATACTATACATACTTTGTCTAGAAAGAGCCAAACTAAAAAGAATGAAGGCAAACATTAACCCAAATAACCCTCATGTACTCAATATGCTTAACCAACAGCTCTCTAATTGGCTTTAAGGCTTTGTCAAGACGAAAACAATGCCTGGTACTTGCAACCTAGCCAACTGCCCATGGCTACTGTACTCAAAGGTCTTGGCAGAGAACCTACATCATAACCCCTAACTACATTCTAAATATTTGTGTCTTTATACCCACAGATAACTTTAGTTCTTCCTCCTCCCAAGTTGGAGTCTGTCTTAAGTTAAAGTCTTTATTGCTGTGATGAAAAATCATGACCAAAAACAACTTGGGGAGGAAAGGATTTGTTTGGTTTACATGTCCAAAGTCACAGTTCACTGAAAGAAGCCAGGTAAGAACTCAAACCAGGAGGAAACCTAGAGGCAGAAGCTGATACAGAGGCCATGGAGTGCTGCTAACTGGTTTATTTCTCACAGCTTTCTCAGCCCAGGAGTGGTACCACCCTCAATATCCTAAGACCTCCTCCATCGATCCACTAATTTAGAAAATCCCTATAGGCTTGTCCAAACTTAAGGAGGCATTTTCTCAATTGAGATTCCTTCCACTTAGATGACTCTAGGTTGTGTCAAGTTGACATAAA